TTATTTTATTTTATTTTATTTTATTTTATTTTATTTTATTTTATTTTTTATTCTTCAAAAACATTTTTTAAACACTTATTTGTTTTTGAGAGACAGAGCGAGACAGAGCACGAGTATAGGAGGGGTGGTGGGCAGGGGTCGGGGGGGGGTGGTGGTGGGGCACAGAATCCAAAGCAGGCTCCGGGCTCTGAGCTGTCAGCACAAAGCCCGATGCCGGGCTCGAACTCACAGACCGCGAGATCATGACCTGGGCTGAAGTCAGACGCCTAACCGACTGAGCCACCCAGGCGCCCTTATTTTATTTTATTCTTAAAGTTTATTCATTTATTTTGAGAGAGAAAGAGGGAGAATGCGTGATGGGGGGAAGGGGCAGAGAGAGAGGGAGAGAGAATCCCAAGCAGGCTCTGCACTGTCAGCACCGAGCCCAAGATGGCGCTCAGTCTCGCTAACTGTGCGATCGATCTGAGCCGAAACCAAGAGTCAGATACATAACCAATGGAGCCACCCAGGCACCCCCTAACTTCTTTCTTTTAATGTCTGACCTGAATATCCTGTGGGTTTACATAGATGTCGTTGGTATAACCCTAGTACGTGATCTTTAAGAATGGGATTGAAATCATTCAAAATTTTCTAGGAACTTGTCCTTTAGAGGAACATTGCCCAATTTTCCGTGGGGGAGGCGAGTATTTGTCAGGTGCTTGTAAGGACTGCAAAGGATAGCTTCTCAAACAGGATGGGCGAAACTCCAGTGAGCTTCCACTCTATCCAGTTCACTGCTCAGTGATTCTCTTTCCTTTCAGTGCCCTTCGCTTTCATCCAAGACAACATCTTGTTCTATGCGACCCTTGGGCTTTGTCTTCCCTTCATCGCTGTTCTAACCATGCTCATCTGTCACAAGTACAAAAAGGTAAACGCGAAGGTAAAAATGCAGCCCTGTTTCCTATTTCTGAGGAACTGCCTGTTGCTAATGGACCCATTATTTTCATCTCCGAAGCAATTTAGGTACGAAAGCCAGCTGCAAATGGTGCAGGTGACCGGCTCTTTGGATAATGAGTACTTCTACGTTGACTTCAGAGAATATGAATACGATCTCAAGTGGGAGTTTCCAAGAGAAAACTTAGAATTTGGTGAGAATCGAATGGTCCAAATGTTCCCACAGCGTTTCCGTTCTGTTGGAAAGTCTCTAACGTGCCCTCGCCCACCATTATCTTGCAGGGAAGGTCCTGGGATCAGGTGCTTTTGGGAAAGTGATGAATGCGACAGCTTACGGAATTAGTAAAACGGGAGTCTCAATCCAGGTGGCAGTCAAAATGCTGAAAGGTACAGTAAGGTGGAACGGTGTCCACAAAGGTGCGCAAAAATGGGAGGCATCGTCTCCCGCCTCCTCTTCTCCTCGTCTGCAGCATTTTTACGGTTACCGCGTGCCACGTTTTCAAGGCTAAGAGGGGATTGGGCTGGGGTTGGTGTCAACCAAGTCGTGAGTATAAAATCCAAGTCACGAATGCAAAAGTCCACCTCTTCTTCCTCTTCTGGCTTTGTCAGGTGTTTCCAGCTTCAATATTAGGGGGTACTGTTATTACGGGCAGATGTTGTTTCTTACATTGTGACACAGACTCTGGGCAGAAGAACCAACTGAAGCCCTCTGCATTCTCACTTCCCACTTGTGGCTCCCCCGCCATCCCTCCCCCTAGCGTCCTTGGCTCAGCAAGAGCCCTCTGGTTGGCTTTTGCTGCCGGGATCAGCAGCCTCCAACAAACGAAGTCTCACGGGCCTCTTTACTCCTCCCAGTCCGGCTGCCTCACAGTCCTTTGCTGGCTCCTCGTCTTCCACCAACTGTTGATGAAGGCTTGCCTCCTTCCTTTGCACCGTGCATGCTCACTACAGGCTACCTCAGTGTCCCCCCCGCCATGGTTCTAGTCTAGGTACCAAGGGTTGCTCTCCCTTCTGAGCCTCAGGTTATGTCCAAATGCCTGAGCACCTCAAAAGGTTCTCTAATTCGAACTGAACTCCTCCAACCGTGGCCCTCCATCAACGCTCCCGCTCAGTGATCGGTGCCGAGGGCCAACGACTGGCCGATGACTTCCCCACAGTTGGGCAAACCGGAAACCGAGGCCGCATCCTTGAAACCGGGTCCGTTCTAGCACCCCACAGGCTGTCCCTGCCTGGTATCCTGCCCCGTGTTCCTTGAACCCACCCTCTTCTCACCTCCCTACCACCCCGGACCAAACCTCTCTCTTCAGAATGGCTGCAGCGGCCCTCCAGGCAGGCCCTACGGGCTCCTTCTGGATTCTCAGTGTTGAGGCCCAAGTGCCGGTTATGGAATGCAAAGCAGACCGGTTTCCCCACTTAGCACTTCCCGGGGTGCTTCGGGATTACTCCCGGGGGAGTCTCCACAGCCCTGCAGCGTCTGGCTACCCTCCTCCCCACCTCACCCTCCCCACCTCCCGCTCACTGGGAGGCTGCCTGCTTTCGGTTC